TGGAAAATGGTGACAGACTCATTGTTTAGCTTTTATCATCCTACTGAGATCTTTGTAAACTTTATTATTTTGTGAGGTGCGTCATAGGTCTTAACTGCTGTCCTCGCTTCTTTCACTGTGCTTAGCAGAAAATTTTTTTGGTTTATGAATGCCTCCCAATCGCTATTACTCTTTTCCTCCATTTTCTTCTACTTGAATGAGAACCACTGTTTGGTGCTCAAATGTTAAAGTAATGCTGTTTCAAGAGCAAAAAAATCATTAAACTTTTCGAGAAACCTTCCACTGTTTTGTATACATGAATTTTTCTAGACGAGGAACAAGAGTTTTCGTCGGAGTTGTGCGGTAGCGAAAACTACGACAACCCTTTAGAAATGAATAGGTTTAGAAAGAAGAGAACTATCGTTGAAGAAGTTGCCGCAAAGGAGCCGGACCTTAATGCACGGCCCAACAAACCCGTTCTTAAAAAGCCAGGAGCCCCAAATCGTTTAAAATTAATACAGCGTAAAATTAAATCGTCTGGAGGAAACGATGATTTTAAAAAGGAGTCTTCTGGGTTTGTTTGACTGCTACTTATAACCTATTCAGTAATTGTACTTGTAGATAATGATTTAATTTCTTCATCTCTTCTGTAGTCTTTTCAGTTTTGATTCCAGCAATTTGGAATTTTAGAAATCATTTCGAGCGTAGTATTATGGAAATAGCAATTTGGTTCGTTAAACCATTAATAGTGCTCACAGTTTACTTATTCATTGAAAACAGTTTGTTTTTGCAGGGCAGCTGCGGGTAATTTACCCTCTCGTTTGACTGATGACAGCGAGAGTGACACTGATATCCAGTACCGAGACGATATCCCGTCTCCGCAGCCGAGACGTGGCATAGGACATAGCACTAATCCTGCTATCGCTAGTCGTCTCCTTCCTCAACGTTTTGCGGACGAAGATGACGAGGATGTTCCTCTATGTTAGTGCAGCGGTTTTTTTTTTTAAATTAGGTGATTAGTTCTTTATTTAACGGATATATCATAAATGATTCAGCTGGTCTTGCTGCACGGGTTAATCGGCGCGATACGTTGGCCAAGCGTTTAGATGTCCCTGACCCTGTAGACGATATTCCGAATCAGACGTCTGATGATAGACGTCTTCTTATGCACAAAGCTAGCATTAAATTGGAAAGGTTCTTGTCTAAATATCGTTCCGTTTTTTCTGAGTTGTTGAATTTTTTACTCAAAAATAGTTTTATTTGGAAAACTTCAAGTTGTCCGTACATTTCTTAAATTATGGTGTTTAGGAGCTTTCTTTTTCTTCATTTTTTTATATATCATTTGTTGTATAAACCTGTTGTCCTGGATGATCTCGAAAAGTTTAACATTCCAAATGATTATGAAAAAGAAACTGAACTGAGATGGATGTTTATGAAGCAATTCTAGTTTTTCTCACCTGGTGGTCGTTTTTGCATATTTCGTATGATGTCAAAGTGGGCTTCTTGTTAAATAAGATTTTACTTAGGAAATTGAGTGAGCGACCTTCTGCAGAAGAACTAGAACAGAGAAATATATTAAAAGCGAAAGACGGGTCAATTTCTTCAAAGAAGGCCATGGAAGAGACCAAGAGAATGCTTCTGAGAAAGGTGCCCGACTTTTTTATAAAATTTTTGCAAAGCTTTATATACTGACTGAGTTTGAGTATTTTTATTACAGCTCAGTTTTCGACCGACAATCCAAGAGCTAAAAGATAAGCAGATTATCAAATTCAGTGATTACGTTGAAGTAACTGAGGCAGATGTCTACGATCGTAAAGCTGATAAGCCTTGGACGCGTTTGACTCCTACGGACAAGGTTGCTTTTGGAAGTACTTTTACCATTAATTTTTTCTGCTTTTTCTGCAGCGCAAAAAAATTGTTGAAAAACAATCTGCAAATTTCTCTATGTACTCTGGAAGTTACAGGCTCTTATTCGGAAGGAACTGAACGATTTTAAAGCAACTGAGATGGATGTTCATGAAGCAAGTCGAGTTTTTACTAGGCATGCATTTAGTTACTTAATTATATTAAGAAAGGCTTGAAGCATTGAATAATGCAGCCGTCTTAGTTTTGAGTTTGACAAACAGTTTAAATTTTCAGATTTCATCGCCCTTAACGGTGTGTAAATTTTTGGGTTCGGCATGCATTAGAATGGACAGATTCTTCCTCTCCAGGCATAATGTTGTAAAGAAATATATTCAACGACTTTTTTCACTCATTTTCAAACCCGCGGTGATATTCGCAGAGCGTAAACGTTTTAACTGCGTTCCTTCAAAAAAGCTTGCCAATGAGTCGCATGAAGCAAATTGTCGACCCTAATATGCCGTAGTCACCGACATGATGGAAGGTAACTCGACGTGATTGGAACACTTAGAACTTAGTAATACGGGCAAAACAGTAGCGAAACTTGCACTTCAAAACTGTTTTCCTGCATTGAAAATTCCCACGTTTTTGACATTTGCTCCCATTTGTGAGCTCTACGTTTTCCAATCATGTTTGATTATTCTCATCATATCGTTGGCTACATTGCATTTGGGTCGGCAATTTACACAGTGCTCGTTGATGGTAGTTGTTTCTAAAAGGAAGCAGTTAGCACGTTTACGCATTTTTTGAAAGAAGTTTTTAGCTGTCGTAAAGCCAAGCTATCTAACAACTTGACAACTCTATCTAACCTGAGAAACTATTTGGGCCGGAGGAAATGAAATACGTAGCCATTAAATTTTTTTTTGAAATACTCATTACTTTGTGCCTCATAACTTGTATATCTTTTTTCACTATTTTGTTTTGCACTTCTCATATTATTTTAAGATATGTATAAAGTGAAACTGTGACATCATTGCTTCGATAAAGAAGAAGTCATTTATGGTAGACGCGTATTAATACTTCTGTAGTCCTCAGCTTCGGCTACAGCACCAACTCAGGAAAAGAGCTAGGAATTTTATCAGTCAAATTTCACAGAACAGAGTAGTTTTTCTTGGGCTTGATGTGGAATTTCTTGCCCCTCAATATACGCCTCTCTTAAAAAATTACTTGGCTGTTGAAGCTGTCAAGTTTGCCTGTTTCTTTGCACCGCATTCCTGTTTTGTCGGTACTGTTTTTTCTTAGCAAATGACCGATCTCCACTGTCTTACGTTTATTCTTAAGTAGTTTCTGTACAGTCTAGTTCCAGGTTTATTCTTGAGAAGAAATTATCAACACGTCTGCTAAAACGCAACTAGAGTAGTGTAGTTCAGACCAATTATTTTAACTGCTACCCCTATTCTCTGTCGCCGTTACTGTTTCAGGCAAAGGAGTCAGTTGTGTAGACGATGTCAAATTTTATGGGTCGGTAAAAGCCAGATGTTATTTTGCGGTATCGGTTCTCTTAAAACAGATTTTGGACTTCACATTTTTTTTTTTTTATTGCTGCAGAAGTCGGGACGGACCTTGCTGGCTGACAGAAATCAACTGGAATGCCTGCTGGTGTACCAATAATGTAATAAGCGGACCTTCCATAGTTTATTCTACGTGCAGCTGTGTAACTTTGTAGCATCATCTTACGCCACGTTATACTTTTTATGCACCAGCACAACTTCCAAAGTATATCCCGCAATGAAGGTCTAGAAAGATTTCTTTTTCTTGACCGGTGATATCCTGCCCTTTATTTTGTCTAGATGGAAGCGTCTCACATTTCTTCCCTAATAAGAGTTCATGACAAGGTGAAACCAAGAGGAGGTACAACTTTAGAGCAGCCACGTTCAGCACCGTCAAAATTCTGTATATTTTTCAATGGACACATTAGTCTTGTACAGCAGTGCAAACATCAGCTCTCCTTATTTGTTGTTAGAAACAAATAACTGTTATTTTCATTTTGGAAATTAGCTGTTCTGATTTTTAGCTTTTTATTTAATCAAATCCTGGAATTTGGAGTATTACAAAATAGTCAAGCATTACTATGATTGTTTGAGCGCTGCTCAACTGTTTATAAGAACTGGCGATATAAAAACTAGGTAGGGAAGTAATCGAGATGTAAATTGATCAGGACAAAAGGTCATGGGAAATGCGTGAGTGAGATAGAGGGAGGTGGGTCGAATGATCTAATTTAGTTTTGAGTACTCAATTCAAGCAAACATTTCGGTCCTCTGCAAACATGCTCTTGCCTATAAGCTTTATCGGACTTTCGTCTGTGAACCTCACCAACGATTGTCTAAGGTAAATCCGGATACAAGATTTCAACCTAGTCTTAGATGTCAACTAAAATGTTGTAAAGCTTATTACTGTGTATTCAGGTGTATATTCCTAAATAAAGGCAAAGCACAGTTTGTATAAGTTTCGTATAATGACAAAGCCAAGAAGTTTACGAAAGACGGAGTCCAGCGTAAGAAAACACGTACTGGAACAGGCATGCTTGTAACTCTTCTAAGCCGAGATGGAAAGTAGATTTCGCATAACTGGTGTTACCTTGGTACTCAATAGCCCTCTTAAAATCCTCGTAAATTAAAAAACAATAGCAGCAGAACCATAATGTTCAATATTAAAAGAGTATTTTTTTGCGCACCTACGAGCCACACGTTAAAAAAGTTTACGTTCAAAAAAACTGTATGTCAACGAGCCTTGCTCTGCAAGCGATGTATCGATATGGCTAGCGCATCCGGATTTAAAGGATATTTTGCCAGAAGCGGATACATTACAGCGGGAGTCAGCAAAGCTGATCATATAATACTTTACAATGCAGATTCTGCAGATTTTGCTGTTAACCTTCTGCTGCAACGTGAATCTAACGAGCATGAGAAAGCGTAACTTATTTTATTACTTAGTGCTGTTGCTCAACTTCATTCTCCTCAAACCCTTTTACAGGTATCAAATTGCTCAAATTCTACTTATCTTTTCAGCGTAAGATTAAGTTGTAATTTTTTGCTCTGGGTTTCGTTGGTTTTGTTAAGTATAGATTTCCACTAAATGCAAGATTCTGTCGAATCCAAATCAAGATTTTGATGAGATCTAGAAGTGTTTAAGAATTTTCAGATTGGTAATTAGCAAAAAACATTTTGAATTCACTGCTAATCCCTGTATCTTGTTGCTACCTGCCAGTTTGATCCTTACTTTAATCATATGCGAGTTGAGGTGTACAGATAAATAAATAGTTAAACAATTAAACTAATGAATTAATAAGTTGATAATTTTTTTCAGAGGTTTTACAGTCTCATGCTCAACTTCCAAACCTTGTTGTAGCTGCTCTTTTATATAACCAAGAAATATGCATACCTGACATCAAAACATAACAATTTCACCCTCTCAGTATCGCACGATTTGAACCTTAGATGACTTTGTTTATAATAATAATAATGTAAAACTGGAACTCATAAGTTGCTTTCTGGAAAAATGATTCGGGTATTAGGCTATGTCACCGAATGGCAAAGAAGATAAGACAACCCCCGGATAATGCGGGAGCAGCTGGTACGGCCTACCAGAAGAATAAGCAAAAAATAAAGGATCAGACCCCGACAGTTCCGGAACCGGCGAGAAAGAAGATAAGAAAAAAGATAAGCTGGTGGACCAGGATATATAAAAAGGTGCATAAAAGAAAGAATAAAGAAGGGAAGGACCTGGCAAGAGACGACAGTACTTCACGTCAATTTATTTTGCCTTACCTTATTTTGTTTTCCTTTTCGTTTATTTTCCTTGTGTTATTAGCACTGACTAGAAAATATTGATAGTTCTGCGTGTTTATATGTTATTCAATATTGTTTCATGCGTTTATATGAGGTTTAAGTACCCAAGTTAGAGGTGTATACTTACTGTTGCATTACAGAAGAATAAATTATTTTTTTATCACTTGGAAAGACCCGCGTGGCAACAGTGACAAACGGATTAACAAGTCACCGCGAGCAACCTAGAATCAGTTTACAATTCATTTCCTTGATAGGCTTCACTGTTACAGCCCCAAACAAACGAGATCCTTTCCAACGGTACTTGGTTTTTCAATCACTCGAAGTTCTGTTTATTTTGGAACTTTAGACTTGTTTGGTCTCAATACCATGGTTCGTCTTTGTCTAAAGTTGTTTTGTCAAGTCACTGCCACTTCGCTAGCGGATATTCTCCTGGCCACTGTCAGCTTTGTTGAGTCTTTGTGATTGCCGTTTCTACCGTTGTCGTCTCACTTAACAGTTTCTTCTTTTAGTCTAAAAATCTGGTCCCTACTAGTTTCATCCTGACTCTAACTGAGACAATCTTTTTGTTTGTCAGTTTCCCGCTCACCCTGTCTCCTATTAAATTTACCCCTCCCCTTAGCTCATCTTCGCTCTTTTTTCTCCTCACTTTGTTTTTGTTCCTTTTCACATTAAGTTCTCTGTACTTTCCCTTAAGTAATTACTTCAAAAACTGTCGATTAATTAATTCAAAGCTTCTAATCTATAATTTTACTATTGCCGCTTACAGTTTCAATGTTGTATAACAACAGATTTGAAATCATACTTTGACGTACAGCACGCATCTATCTTCTTAAATCGAATTCCGTCCGTCGTAAAATTGCTGGCTTTGTTACTTTAAGAAACTCACACAAACTACGCTTTGCTTTTAATTAAGAATATACACCCAAGTACAGATTCGAAAACTTTGGAAAATTTTTGAAAAACTGTAAAAAAAATCCGTAAAAAGACGGATTTAAGAATTTGTTCTATACCTCCCGTAGCGAAGATCTGGTTCCATATCAGCGCACTCTACCTGTCCCGCAGGATCACATATACAGTTTTAATCAAAACTTCTAAAAGTATTAAAACACAGGGGTAAAATCATGCAAGTCTCTGAAAAAACTACGGTGAAATTTTTAGGCAAGGGAAGCGTTTTTCACGTGTAAAGCGGCTTGTGCCACTGTTAAATCTTCACCAGATATCTTTCCAGAAATTGTATCTTAAGATGTCCTAGAACTGGCATTTTTAAACAAACCAGCAATACTAACTGGATGAGAGTTTGTCCACAATTTCATCGCCTTTTTCTTGGAAAAGTGGGATAGTGTATGAACGAAATTACCATTGAAAAATACAAGCCAAATTACGAGCAAGAA